CCACTTATGCTCATTCTACTTCTTTCTTCCCTCTTCCATTTTTTCTTTCCTTGACCTCATGGACAATTTGACCCTGACCATTCAGACTCTCCTTGTGGGCACTAATAACCCATAGTTTTTGGCTGCAGCATGTGGGATCTTAGTTCCGTGACCAGGGATCAAACCCACACCACCTGCATTGGCAGTGAGGAGTCTTAACCACTGGACCACCAGGGAAGTCTTTTAATATTCCATATTTTAACACATCATCACTGACATTCAGTTCAGTTCAGTTCAGTTACTCAGTTGTGTTGGACTCTTTGTGACCCCATAGACTGCAGCATGCCAGGCTTCCCTGTCCATCACCAACTCCCGGAGCTTACTCAACTTATGTCTGTCTGGATGCCATGATCTTAGTTTTCTGAATGTTAAGTGTTAAGTGAACTTTTTCACTCTCCTCTTTCACTTTCATCAAGACATTATTTTCTTATAAACATTAAACAAGACATTAAACATAACAGAAGACATTATTTTCGTATTTTTATCACTGACATGATTAACATATAAACACATATTACACATACATCTGTATGGGTATTTTACACATGTGTATACATATTTTTTTGTGTATACCTCTGTATGCTACATAAAAAGGACTTTTAAAGAGTCAGTACTTTGGACTTTCCTGGTGGTGCAGTGGATAGGAGTCTGCCTGCTAATGCAGGGAACAGGGGTTCAATGCCTGGTCTGGGAGGATTCCACACGCCTTAGTGCAACTAAGCCCATGCACCACAATGACGGAGGCTGTGTGCAGCAACTACTGAAGCCCAAGAGCCTCGTGCCTGTGCTCCGCAATGAGAAGCCACTGCAGTGAGAAACCGGTACACCACATCGAAGAGTAGTTCTTAGTTGCCGCAACTAGAGAAAGCCTGTATACAGCAATGAAAACCCAGTGCAAGCAGAAAAAAAGAATCCGCCCTTTTAAACTTTTCGAACATTTTGGATGGAGATCTAATTTTTTTCAGCATCTTCCTTGTCTTCTTAAATAGAATACTATCTATAGAATATACATCTAACTTTTATAACTCAGGGTTATTGGTGTTCTATGCTGTGGTAATGTATCAAGAGGAGAAACTAGTGAAAGGAATGAGTATGAGTTTTGGAGTTAAACAATCTTTGCAATGACGGCCCCCCCGCCACCTTTGCAGTTCCTGGGGTCTCCTGAGGTCACCTCCTGTTCTCTTTTAATGTGTTTCTAATCTACAGTGGGCTTAGGAATCAGACAATGAAGTTTATTAGAAATATTTGTGAACTACACATAAACAGTGTCTAAGTAAAGGAAAGAGACAATCTTATGTATAAAGTCTATCTGTTTTAAAGCATAACTTTATGCAATCTACTTGGTTGATCACAAGCCTTTCTCACTTAACTCCTGTTTTTCAAGTTTATTCAGAATTCTTGAGGCTGAATAAGTGATTTCTTAAAAAGTGTTCCAATAATGCATTTTACATATTCTTTTGTTGTTAATTATCTTTATGTTTAGGCTTCTCATGTGGCTCAGTGGTAAAGAATCTGCCTGCTAATGCAGGAGACTCAGGTTCCATCCTTAAGTGAGGAAGATGCCCTGGAGAAGGAAAGGGTTACCCACTCCAGTATTCTTGCCTGGGAAATCCAGTGGACAGAGGAGCCTGGCAGACTGCAGCCCATGAGGTTGCAAAAGAGTCAGACAAAACTTGGTGACTCAACAACAACAATCTTTATGTGCATGCACATGCCATAACTTTCCAATTAGATTATTCCCTGATTAGATTATTAATTTCCCACGGCAAGTGTTATTTTATAGTTGTTCATTCATTTGCTAAGTATTTTTCAAAATGACTACTGTGAGCAAACATCTGATAGGAAAGAGATAAAGACAGCACTTACACATTATTGAGGAGTGAGTAAAATAACCAATACAAGGTAGAAGGTGAACATAAAAATCCGGAGAATTCAAATGAGGGAAAGAAAATACTTTCTGGTTGGGAGAACTGGAGAAGGCTTTGTGTAAGAGATAGCATTGGTAGACAGGAAAAACTTTCTTGGGTAGAATTCTAGGGTTTGCAAGAGTGAGCAGGAATAGAGATACATATGCATGATTGTGGAATTACAGTCACGCTGTTGTTTTGAGAGCACCCAGTACATAGAACCCCAATTCCCCAAATGAGTTTGGTGTAAATAATAAGACCAAGAAGTGGCAGATTGAGTCCCCAATACAACTTTTTTTTTTTTTTAATGATTAAGGCTAAGCTGGAGCACCCGAGTCTAGGCAAGAGCTGAATAAGCCTGCTAACCAAACCCTAGGATATGGCTGACCCACTTTGTAACAGATAATGGGAGCTGGGTTACACAGAAAATTCAGTTCCTGAGAATTTTTTCAACTCGAATACTTGAGATTGTTAGATAAAAACAAGCAGTAGATGGCATTTATAGGTGAATTTATCTTTAAAAAGTGTTTATTTTGCACTACCCCTCTTTGCCACAAAAGCATCCGCATGGTAAGGTAGCTAGACATAATACACCAATGTGAATTAAAATCGCTTCTCATGGGAACCCACTGAGGATCTGTAGCTCACATGGGGGCTATTCAGGTGTATCATAACTAGAATTGGAGATCCCTGGCCTGTGGCAACTTTGAAGGGTCTACATTTTAAAGATGAAAGAGACATGTTTTTACAAAGCTATATACATTTCTGCCCCTAAGCACTGATTCAGGTGGAGAGACAACAGGCTTTACCCCTAGGAAGCTGGCTGCCCTCAGGAGACAGGTAGGAGGTTGCAGGGTGGGGGGGAGGGGCGGTGGTTGATGCCTTACACCCCTTAGAGTGAGCATTAGGGCTGGTGGGGCTGTGTGAAGATCACCTACATGGAACATATTATGTCTTCAAGAAATATATATAGGAGAGAGAAAGGGGGTTGGGGAGGATGGGGAAGAGCTGGTGAGAGGAGAGTGAGGGCTTTAGAGGCTGAAGTTCCATAACTGAGGCTAGTTCAGCATGCGTGTGTTTCACCACCCAATTGCCCACACTGCTTCGTTATACACCATCTCTACTGGCGAGCACTGCCATGTAAACTGCTGCGGGTCCCAGCCAGATTCTGGACTCTCCACATGGATTCCCTGACCCTATCGACCCACACCAGACAACTAAGTAAGACTGTAAATGTTCCTCTGAATAGTTGGCAACTGTATAGTGCCCCCAGGGACCAGCCACTTTTCATAACCCTTACCATTCTCCTGCAAGGCTGGCTTTATCATCTTCTCTGCTTTTCAGACAGGGAAACAAAGACTTAGAAACAGACCTGGTTGAATCAGGATTGGAACCTGGGGCTGCCTGCCTTCAGAGGTGTGCTCTTCTAGTAGTTTCTAGGGGATTGGGGTTGGGGGGCAGTTACCACTCTTAAATGGAGGAGGAGGGGTAGAGTTAGCTTTGGGGGCCCATGGGGGTCTGGGTGTGTATGGTTACATGTGGGGTTATTTCCTGGGCTGTGTGTGAGTTTAAGTGTGAGTGTGTATGTTGTTTGAGATGTATGCATATATGGATATTTGTGGGCTAATTCTTGGAATATGTGTATTTAAGTGTGTATATGTGTGTGGAGAGGGGCGGTTTAGTCCCTGGGCTGCTATGCAAATATATGTGTGTTAGGGCTCCAGTGTGCACAAATGGGCTTGAATGTCTGTGTATGATTGTGACTCGGTGTGTGCGTGAGGGTGTGAGCTTGAGCAACTGCTGTGTTTAGTTGTTCAGTTCGACTCTCTGCGACTCCATGGACTGTAGCCTGCCAGGCTCCTCTGTCCATGAGGATTCTCCAGACAAGAATACTGGAGTGGGTGGCCATGCCCTACTCCAGGGGATCTTCCCAATCCAGGGATCGAACCCAGCTCTCCCTCATTGCAGGCGGATTCTTTACCCTCGGACCAATCAGGCAAACCCTTGAGCAAGTGGGTAGGGGTCAATCTCTGACCATGAGTCTGTGATGTGTGAGTGTGTGTGTGTGGTCAGCCCCTGGGGTCTGTGTGGGAACGAGTGTGCCTGCGCGAGGGTGTGTGCGTGTGTGTGTGTGCGTGTGTGTGTTCGGGGCGCCAGACTCCCGTGGGCTGGGGAGACGCCGGCCCGACCCCGCCCTCCGCGGCTGCGGGGTGCAGACCTTCCGTGGCAAGACGCCCCCACCCCAGCCTGGGACCCCGCTAGCCCCTGCGTCCTCCTCCCGCAGCCCCACCCGGGACTCCGACCCCGGTTCACTGCCCTCCCCCTGCCTCTGGCCGGGAGCCCCCTCCCCTCCCACGGACCGCAGCGCGAGCCGTGCTTCCCGGGACCCCAGTCCTCTCCCATCCGCGCGTGGTGCGCCCCTCCCGCTCCGCTCCCGGCGCACCCCACTTCCTCGGTCCGGGCATCCCCTCCCCACGCCTCGGACGCTCCCTTCTCCCCAGGCTGTACTTTGGGGTGCGCGTCCCGGCCGGCAGGGAGTGGCCGAGCATTGGTACAAGCACCCGGGCGGAGGGACCCGCTGTGCGAGGCGGGGGCCGGGGCGCCCTGCGCTCCCCGGGAGCGAGGCGCGCTCCGTGGTTCCCACCCCGCTGTGGAGCTCGACCCGGGAACCTCCCGCGCCCGGGGGCCCGCCCGACCCAGGGCCAGAAATCAGCACAGAGCTGGCCTGTGTTTCCACCTCGCTTACAGAATGGAACCGGCCCAGGAGGCCGGGGGGAGGCGGGGGCGCGAGTCCGGTTGCGCTTCGGAGAGCGCAACAGGCAGGTAGGAGTTTACTTTCAAAAACGCCGGGGTGGAGCAGGAGGTGTCCGGCGAGTCTCTGCCCGAGGCGTCCGGGTTGGAGGCGATCTCACCGCACCGGGGCAGCCTTCGCCACGGGCAGGACCACATTTCCTCCTACAGGCTTTGAACTGCCCCCAAGCAAACGCGTCCAGAGAAGTGTGAAGCTTTGTAAAAATTTAAACGCGTCGGTGGCGGAGGCAGGAGTGGGGCGGAGCCGCGGCCTGGCGGCTGGGAGATGAGCTAGTGAGACTTGGAGCGGAGAAATCCGTGGCTCAGTTTTCACAGCTTCAAATCAGGTAAAAGGCCCACCCGAGAAAGTGTTGTGAGCTCGTTTAGCTGCTCGTGAAGAGACGTTAGAGCGTTTTATGATGATGATTGTGTGGCTGACACGTGCATTTTGTTAAACCTCTTTGAGGGGGCTGTGGTTGGAAATGCTTGTATTTTTAGACACTTATTCCAAAAGCTAGCAAGCTGTAAAGAATCTGGCGTTTTCACTGATGTGTTTATAAATTTTACAAGGTTGCTGGAAAAATATTATAACTTGTGTCACCAATCAACAATGCTAATTAGCATTCTCCTTCCAGTGGGTGGGTTGTTTGATTACACAGCTCCTAGGCTCTTTAAGTGAGATGGCAGAAACTGTCTGAATCCAGGGAGATGTAATTAGTCATTTTATGAAACCACTAATTAGAGTTTTTAGAGTTGAATTAAATCAATGTGATATAGTTGGGGCTTTGATTTGTGGGAGGAAACTGTTTATTCTCCAGTTCAAAGAAATAACACTTTTCACCTACCCCATGAGCTTTTAGCATTCCCAGACTTTGGTATCTCTCAATATAATTAGTGAAACAGCTAGTGTGAAATTTTCACTGTTACAGTGTTGGCAGTGTGGCTTGGCTGCAACTTAATTTGTAAGTAAAATGGGAGAATTTTGAGAATGGCATATTTGTAAGGACGGCTTGCCAGGCAGTACATGTTTTATTGCCTTGTGTATTTGAGCAAAAGGATGAGACCATAAAGGAAAGTGTCCTGACCAGACCACAATGCCTTGTCACCCTGGTCCCACTGGAGACTGAACAAGTGTTGAATGAGGAAGGTACTCTCCATCCCCCAATACACACACACACGCCCCCTCGTGACTCCAGACCTCAGAGGAGTTGGTTTGCACAGGCGCCTATCAGATTGTATTTGAAAAGGCAGTTTCCACCTTTGTGTTCTTTTCTCCTGTACCTTCCACAGTACTTGAGACCCTGAACCTGTGAATAGGAGTTGAAATTGCAGAAATCTTTGTAGGTTATGTGTGGTTTGGGACAGTTTATGATTGTTGCCTACCCTCCTCTCTGAAAATAAGCAATTCTGAAAATTGCTACGTTGCTGTATAGTTTCTATAGTTAAGAGTGCAGGTTCTGGAGTTAGACTCTTAAAAGTTCAAGGCCCGGCTCCAGCATTTACCAGGTGTGTGACCTTGGTTTTCTTAACTGTAACAGAAAATTAATATTTTTTTCTCCCATATAAGTCTTGTTCTGAGGATTAAGTGAAATATCATATACAAATGACTGAAAGCAGTTTCTGACACATCAGAGGCACTTGACTAACTTTAAGCCATTCGATTATTTATGGCCCTCTTCTCTTTATAAAGTGAACTAGCTGTGGTTAGGGGACTAGCTGGGTGTGGGTATATGATTAGAGCCTCGTTCTATGCCATTTTCCAGAAGGTGGACACGACAGGATTAGGTGGACATGGGGCTGGCCCGTGTTTCTGGTCGTGGCTTTGGTCCCACTTGAAGTCTGATGAAAAGGTACATGTGTGTTCTGCCACAGTGTGTTTCCATCCCACTGAATCCAGTCCCTTCTGAATCCCACTTATTGGATAGCAGTCACTGGACCTGGCACCACTGGATTTACAGAGGAGGTAGTAAATGCTTATGAAATGTATTTTCCTGAAGCTTAAAAATCTGGCAGGGGACAAGGGGGTCACTTGAAAACAAAAAAGCATCGTAAGAATTCCAGACATATCAACCATTCACAGCTCTGCAGAAATTTATACCCAGCTGCTGGGAGTGTTTCAGAGGGAATTGATGACTGGAGCCAAGAGCAATTATTTGAAGAAGGTGAGTTGAAATCATTGGCAAGATAGGTAAAGTGAGGTTGACATTTTCTTTCCTTGTGAATAGTGGCCCAGAATCACTCTTTTGTAAGAGCCCTGTTGTGATGAAGAATCACTGGGTTTGTTGCAAATACACCAGTCCCTCCGATTCCCACATCGGTGACCTGGATGATGTGTTATGGTTTATTGACCACAAGTTCAGTAAAATACTTCTTCCTACCCTCCCTTACAACCGTGAGTTCCTCCAGATAAACCTGATAAAATACACAGTTTTCTCTGATGTTCACTTCCAACCTGGGAACAGTAAAAGAAGACCTGCAAGAAACAGAATGGAAATCAATAAAGCAGTCAACTGTAGCTAATGGTGTCCATTAAAGGTAGATGGCTCAGATGGTAGAGAGTCTGCCTGCAATACAGGAGACCTGAGTTCGATCCCTGGGTTGGGAAAATTCCATGGAGAAGGGAATGGCAACCCACTCCAGTATTCTTACCTGGAGAATTCCCATAAAGGAGCCTGGTGGACTACTGTCCATAAGGTCGCAAGCAGTCGGACACGACTGAGTGCTAACGCTAAAGGTAGACTCAAATGGACCAAAAACATATACATAAGTTTAATGAAAATGATATGTAAGTCATGTGCCTTATAAAAGTTTTCTTTCCAATGGAAGGAATTTAGATTTACTAAGTAGTGCTGCGATTCATGGGGTCGCAGAAAGTCGGACACAACTGAGCGACTCAACTGAACTGAACTGAATACCTATCCTGTGCCAGGCACTAGTCTGAAAGATTACGAATGATCTCATTTAACCCACCTTGAGCCTATAAGGTAAGCAAAATGTAATGCTATTGTTATAATTAGGGAAACAGGGACAGAAAGGTTAAGTAACTTAATCTGAGGTCACATAGCTGATAAGGAACAGAGCCAGAATTTGAGCAGTAACGATCTAACTGCAGAACATATGCTCATGGCTTATCCTCTGTAAAAGAAAAGTTGACTCAACAAAATATCTAAATTACCCTTTTCCTCTTGAGTAATTAAAAATGGGTACCTTGAGAAAAATGTTAGCTTGAAAACAATAAAAATTATAAATGCCCTAAATCCTTTAGAATTCTGTATATGATAAAAACAAAATATTCAAAGTAATGCACACAGTATATGTAAACACAGTTACAGCAGAAATCTCTTTCCCTTGGAAATACATCCAGTGCAGAAGGAGTGGAATGGCTTTTTAAATTCAGCGTGTGTCTTTGTACCCCTTGCAAGGTAACCGTCCAAACCCAAGTTCAGTTTATTACTTAATAGCTCTAGGCAGAGCTGTTGATGTTTTTATAATTTCCTTTTCTGAGAAGGTTAGCTTATGTTTACCAGTCATTACCATAGCATATTATTTCCCTCTTGTGATTCTCTGAACACTGTTTTCCTTTTAAGTAAGAGTCACGTATATTTTATGTAAGTGAACATGGCTTTAGGGGCAGATAAAGTATCCCATGCAGGAGATGGACTCAGACTCAGTTTCTCCTGAGTCTGCCCATGCAGGAGACGTGAGAGACTCAGGTTTCTATGCCTGGGTCCAGAAGATCCCACGGAGTAGGAGATGGCAAACCCACTCCAATATTCTTGCCATGGACAGTGGAGCCTGGTAGGCTACAGTCCATGTGGTTGCAAAGAGTCAGACATGACTGAATGGGTGGACACACACATTCTCTTTGAAGCCACTGATCCGCATTTTGCTTTTAAGAAAGGGTGGTGAAGAAGATTCTCTGCTGCTGTTGCCAGGGAATTCCAGATTAAAATGCTGCCCTCCTGCCCCCCTGAGATGTGACTTGATGAGCTCTGAGCCCTATCCTGTCATTTGCCTCCAGTTCCCGGAAGGGATAAGTGACAGGAGGGGGAGGCAGAGAACTAATGCTGATTCTTACTCAGTGTGTCTGGAATATAACTTTTGCCGGTGAGAGAGACTTGGTGTGAGCAGCAGGGCACCTCCACTCCCAGTGGTTCAGCTGTCACTGTGGAATCTAATCTCTGCATCTTTTCCCTCTGTTGTAAAATTGAGGATTTAAAATAGATGATCTCTAAGGTTTCTTCTGCACGAGTCTGTGGCCTCCACATCTTAATATCTTGCCACCAGAACCCTTCCTTCGCTCAGCATGCGTTACTGAGAGCTTGGTGTGCTCCAGGGGTTGAAGAGACAGTCGTGAAAGAGGCGCCGCCCTTGTGGAGCTTCTTGTCTCTCCAGGAGCCAGTCCCCATGTATCTGAAAACCAGGATGTCAAGGAGAAGTGCAGGGAGCTGAGACTGGAGGATCAGGAAAGGCTTCTTGAAAGAAGCCGTATTTCATTTGAGAGGGATGGGTAGGAACTGGGTGGAATGAGGTTGAAGAGTCAGTAGAGCGGATACACCGAGGCTGCAGAAAGGCATGGTGCCTTAGAGGAGGGGTCCCCGACACCTGGGGTCTAATGCCTGATGACCTGAGTTGGAGCTGATGTAATAGAGTCTAATGTGAAATAATAATAGAAATAATCTGCACCATAGACGTCGTGTGCTTGAACCATCCCACAAGCAACCCTCCCCCCAGTTCCATGGAAAGCTTGTCTTCCATGAAACCAGTCCCTGGTGCCAAAAGGATTGCGGACTGCTGCCTTAGAGGACCTTAGAGAAGGAAGTCCAAGCTGGAGATATGGGCAGGGCCTGGCCGACCAAGTGAAAGGTTTTGTGTTTTATTCGAAGCGTCGCAGAACACCAACGAAGGGTTTCAAGCAGGGAAACGTCCACATTGTGACCTGAGAGATCGCTCTGGCTGCTGCCCAGTCAGGGTCTTGTCAGGGGTCAGCATGACGAGGGACAGTTCTGCATTCCAGGATCCACATTTACACCTTTTATGACCCTATCCCATTCAGGCTAGAGCACAGCCTATCGGTTTATTACCCAGGGAACCCGATCCCTTTTCATTACTTTATCTTCCCGATAAGGCGTCCCCCTCTGACCTTATCTGAGGTCTGCTAATTTCTTGTGCATACAAGGGAACTATCTTCTGAATGCGTTGCTACAAAGATAAACTTCAGGATGTGTTTTTCTGTTAACCATACCGAAGCTCTTATGTTGGCTTTTGAAATGAGTTCACTCTGGATTTTGTCAGTTTGCCTTTGGCTGCTGCTTCTTAATCCTCACTGAGATCTTGAAAAAAATTG